TTTGAAAATCTGATGAAGGTTAGAGCGCCCCCCTCAGCAGATGCTCATACATGCAACATTGAGCATATGACTTGGGGCGTTTGCAAACTCCCCAGAGTCCACAGGAGTGACGTAAAGGAGCTCGGCTAGTCTGGACCCCCTAGTTTAGAAGCGACTCTTCCCACTCAGAGCTCGGTGGCCGCTGAGGCTCCTTTGGAACCGGGCCCTGTCCTCCCTGCTTGCTTCGCCCTTGGGCGGTTTTCTCTGTCCCTTGCGTGCCCAGTGCCCACCTGCGCGGCATTCACGCCTTCGCTCGCGATCAACCCAGAACCTGGAGCGTCTCCTGGCTCTTCTCACCATCTCTTTGCATTTTTCAAAACCTAGTCACTTTTATACAGAGGACACATTTGATCCTGAGCTGCCCCTTCTTGCATTCACACAAACCTTTTCGGGCCTTACTGTGATGGCTCGTTTCTCACGTGTCCCGGCTACGGCCGGGAAATGTACAGCGCTGCTGATCTCCGCTGAGTTCAGGAAGAGCCTCGTTCGATGACGAACAGCCCGTTGTTTAAAAACGGACCTTCGGCCCAGCCGCGCCCACTTACGTTCTGAAATACCATGTGTGGAGGGTCCCGGGGTTTTTAGCGGCTGCAATCGCAGGGATTTGGGGGTGAGTTTACCACGCAGTCCACTTGCCTGTGAACCCTGGCGCGCAGACACACGTGCCGTTCAGGCCCTCGCTGTCACAGGTGCCTCCGTGCAGACAGCTGACATTAGCGCAGGGGTCCTTGTACGACTCACAGTGTGCTCCTGTGGGGCGGGGAGGGGAGATAAAGGGGGACTCGTTAAGGCATCTCCTGCTCATGTGGCCTTGAAAGGCAAAGCATTTAAACAGCCTGGAACGGTGTGGAAGCAGATGATTCCTAGCAGCTTGTGGTGAGGGAGGGGAGGAGAGGGGAGGGGGGAGAGGGAGGTGCGTGCCCAGGTGCGCACCCCTGACTTTGAACGATTGCAGAGACGCACTTCACGAAAAAATAAACGCAATCCCTGCTCACTGGTCCTGTCACAAGTCTTTCATCTGTACCTTCTCCGCCCACATGTGCCAAAGCCTGGGAACCGAAAGTTAAAAAGCCTGAAAGATCAAATGTCTCAGGGACAAAACTTTCCAAGTCTCCAGAAGAAACAGAAAATCGCCAGGCAACCTTCATAAAACACCAATGTATGTGATAGGCAGCATCCTGAAGATCTGGAGTCGGATGTTTGACTGTGCCTGTGTCGACTCTGGGGAACTGAGAGAGAGAGGGGCAGCCCCTTGGAACTTCAAGGTCATTCTGAAAGTCTTCTCAGTTCTCCATACACGAAAGTTAACGTGTCGTGCACACACAAGACCCCAGGTGCTCGCCCTGTGCCTTCCGTCTAATTTGGTCCTGGCGGCGACGCTGTGAGACCAGTACCCTAAGTGCCCCATGTTACAGATGAGGAAACTGAAGAAAGGACACGAGGTGACACGGCTGGTAGGGGAGGGAGCCGCGGCCTGAAACCACAGCAATGTGAATGTGAGTCTACACTCGCGAAGTAGTTAGCTCAGAGTGAGCCCCGACGGGCCGCGGAAATACACAAAATTCTAGGGAGCTCGGCGCCCATTGAGCAAAAAAGGAGGCATGAAAGAAAAACCTTCATAGCAAGAACAGTAAGTTTCCAATGGGTACTTTTTTTTCAAAGTCTGTGTGTGCACGTACGCACGCAAATGCATGAAATGCGACTCCGAAGAAAACAGATTCCTCTGACGTTCATATTATGTATATACATGTCGAAATTTTTTTCACAAGGAGTACATGTTATTTTATTTAAAAAGCTAAAAATCCAATGCTTTCGAAAGGTAGGATTTCTGCTGCTGCTTCACGGTAGTCTCAAGATGGACGCAGGGACTAACGTCTCTCTCTCCCAACTCACACTCTTTGGAGAGGAAGATAAATCACATGATCTTCTGCGTGAGAATGTATCTAATGATGTGCTCACCCTTCTCAACAGCCTCAGAAAACATAAGCGTAAAGCAACAAGTGACTGAATGATATTTACTTCATTTGCTTTCCAGTCCATCACTTAGCTGGCATTGTGCAAGGACTACCACACCCAGTGACTCATCATTTAGTCACTGAAAGTTCCTCTTGCTGGGATTTGCTCTCGTTTCTTTTTCAATGCCTTAAGAGGTAGGGCTCAAGAAAGAGGAAAAAAATACGAGAGAAAAGGAACACGGAACTGCCGATCTGGATTCACACCGACAACTTATTGACCCTGGCACAGCATTTTGGAATGGATGCCTTTTCAACCCTTTTTATCCTTGTTGCTCCTCATGTCCAACCCATGAACGATATTCTGCCAGATGTTCTTCTAAAGTGCCTTTCGGGTCTCTGCCTTCCTTTGCTCGCTGCAACCACCACGTGACCCCATGGTCTCATGCTTCCTGGAATGTAGCTCCACCAAGCCATGTCCTTGCGGCCCTGTCTGCTCCAGTGACTTGAGTGACCCTCCCCGGCTTTCGTCATCCTTAACGGATCCAGGATTCAGGGTAATGCGCCAGCCCAAACTAATCTAAACGTTTAAATTATTTATTAGCATAAAACTAGCAATTCCTCTTCACTTGGGTGTGTATGGTTTCTTGGCCCAGAAGCCTCTATTCTACTTCCCACTGATTCTCAAGCAGCACAGGCTCACTTGAAAGAAGAAAATGGAAAAAGATCCTTTCCTGCTTCAAAGTGTTTATCAAAAAATAATGATTCACATATTTACAAGATCCTCTGAGGCTGATTAATGGGAACCAGGTGAACAAAGAAAGACTTCAAGGGGAATGGGAAATGCAGCCACAACCAAGGTTCAGAGATGGCCGAAGCCTCAGAAAATTTCAATTTGACCTTAAGTCAGAGCGATCCAGGATGATCTTCCCTGAGTTTCTATAACACCTTAGCCAATCTAGCCTGCAAAATATTAACATAAATAATTCATTAAGATACTAGTTACCACATTCTCAAATCAGGCTGAAGAGCAAAATCCAGGCTAAATATTTAAACGTCTTAACCTTAAAAGCCTTAAATAATAAAGATTTGATGAAAATACCCTTGGTAATAAGCAATTTCAATCTTTGGGGTGGTTCTTTGGCAATAATTTTATCCCTTGCTATTTCGCTCTTTCAAAAGATAACATATTCGGTCACTTGCGATCCATTGAGAGTTTTCTGGCAGCAAGATTGGACGAAAGCGAATCTTCACAGAAACGCAAATATCTATGAAGCAAGATGGTCTTAAAGGTCCCCGGTGAGCACTTTGCTTACTCACATTTCTATGTGTCATGTTGCTCAGCTTGATGATTAGAGCTAGACAACTACGAGCTAGAAATCTTAACTAGACAGAATAACAAGTCGTGAATACGACCGATGTGCCACGCTGCCTCCATCCCAAGTGTCCTGCTCCGGCCACCTGGACCCACCTTCCCGCATTCAGAGTCCCCGGGGGAGCCCCAGGCACCTGCCCAACCTTGAGTGTTAGGCATCCCGTGTCCTCTGACAAGAACGCTTTCCCTCGTCCTCTTTCCCAAGCTAGTCTCCACCCGGCCAATTCTGTCAAAGTTCAGCTCAAACACCTTTTTTCTGGAAAGCTGAACCCAAGACAGGATTTCATTCTTCTGCCATTGTGCGCTGAGGGCATGCGAAGTTCACGCCATTCCAGAGTTATCTCTTCTCCTATCTGATACACACACACGCGCGCGCGCACACACACACACACACACACACACACACACCTCTGTGTTCCTTTTGAGCACAGGCTGTATCTTAACGCATGGAAGAAATTACGAATATATCACCAGAATCCTGTCCTTTTGGGGTTTGGGGTGGGGGGGTTGTCTGCGTACTTTGGCTGACACACAGGTGGGACTGCCACGCAAGTGAGAAGCCCTTCCAAACCTGCCTCAAAAACACCCTATTTTGTCAGGAAAAACCAGGGCCACACTTCAAACTAAGTCTGCGGTATGACACATGTATCACCCATTGGCAAAGCACGTAGCACGCACTGTTATGAAACTTATGTTTAGTCTCAAGCAAAAATAAACTGTAATTCAGTCAAAACTAATAAAAATTCATACTTTTCATATTAAGGAATAGAGAGGCAATGTTTCTGAAAAGATCTCCCTTCCAACAGGGCTCTTTATGGAAGTTAATTTTAGAAGTAAAATGAGCAAAAAAATTCAAAGAGCGGGGCACCAATTATAAATCTTTGTTGTCATCACGATTTAGTCAATTAAAATTTTGGAAACAAAAATCATTATTTTATCTCCAAGGAAAGTAAGCCAGGTAAAGAAAATTAACTTGAAGCGTTCTTTGAACTTAATATTCCCTTTAAAACATCATCTTATTAAATTCTAATTTATTTCGTCCATGAAAACTTTTCTACTATTTCTACCCTCACGGAACTCAACTTCTTCTAAATTATTTCAGAAATTATAATTAATATCTCGACCTCAGCCTCATAGTTTCTGTGTTTTCAGCCTCAGTCTGTTCTTCTAATTAAATAATAGCCTGAAAAAGGGAGAGACTTTGACTTATGCATTTTTGTATCTATCCCACTACATGAGATGGACTACAAAAATATCCAGAAACTCTTGTTCCCTGCTTACACAGAGGAAAGAATTCTAGCCAACAAAGAAAAAGTTCTCATTATTTTAATTATAAATTTCTGTAGACTTTAAAAATAAACAATGAGACAGAATGTGATCAAACCCATAATCCTGTGATCTCATTTCTGAGACCCTATTCCCACCCCCCAAAAATATCCAGAAAGTATGAAAATTATAGGAATAAAAATGTTCGTTCAAGAACTATTTATAACAGTCTCACATCAGCTGCAACAAGGGAATGGATAAATATACTGCAACGGGAACATCGCATAACTATTCAAAATAGAATTAGTAAGACTCCTTAGCCATATCTAAATCAAACACCGTATAACGGAAAATACAAAATGGTAGGTACACTCAATTATAGTCATAAAAACACGGGTATTAAAAAAATGGAATTAATACAGATGATTATTGCTCTTGCATTCTGTTGTAAAGTGATGAGCTCTGTTGGAATTTTTTTTCTAAATTTTTTATTATTGCTGTTGTTTTTTTCACGACTAAAAATCGAAGTGTTTTCTTTCTAACTTCTGTCACCAAAAATTATAAATGGGTATATTGTTGATCATTCAATTTGTTCTGCTAGAAATAAAAATTGACACAGATAGGGCAGTGACTTCGCTTTCTGCTGATTGGAGATGATGAACACTAACCCAAGTTTTAAAAGCCCCGTCACCAACTAGCGGTGAACTGGTTTGGAAGGCAGTGCCGGCATTGCAGTGTGTCTAAAAGGAAGATGCTACGAATCCCTCCACGCTTTTTGCTTCTAACGATTTCATGATTCACAGTGGAAACTTACCGGGAAAATATTCAAGTTCGTTTCCTTTAATTAGTGTGTCGAGCAGCCGTTTCAAGTAAAGATAGCTACTGAGCATTTGTTTTGTGCAATCCACCATACCCAAAGCTGCCGAGAACTTTTTTTTCTTTTAAAGACCTATACAGTCATTGCCTTTCATTAAATTATGATTTAGTGTAAGGTAGAGGCAAGTCTGAAGCCAGAAAGAATTGACGACGAGGCTGATCATAATTGTCAACAGCAAACGGAGAGAAAATGCTGGATGGAGAGTTCAAAGACGGACGAATCACATCTGTCTGAGGGTCGGCACTTCAGGCGGCGGATGTAGTCAGGGGATCGGAGGAGA